GTAATAAATCATATACTGTGGACTATGCACACAACCAGGAGCAAGAGTATTGTACCAAGCTTTAGCATCACCCTTTAATGAGAACGGAAATAATTTGAGAATAAAGTAATAGCGAGTTTGCTCATCATGAGTAAAAAGGGTGGCTATGTCATTCAACTTAGTAAAATGTGCCACAACAATTTCAGTTTCATAACCATAGAAAGGATCAGATTCAACCAAAGTAATTAACTCTGGGTCGACAAAGAATTCATAATCTTTATCATCAATAAAGATAGATGAAGTAGCAAACTTAGGATCATATTTCATTCTAGCATTCAGAGATTGTTCTTTATACCACTACTAGAAATCAACATTTTACCTAGGGCCATATACCATAGGTGGAATGCAAAAAACCATAGAGAAAGACTTTACCTAGAGCTTGCCCTAGGTAAAGAACCCTAGGTGTAGTATAGTCAAGAAAAAGCTCTTTCCCTGAGTGCATGAGGCAAGCTCTAGCGAAACCATCTTTACCTAGGGGCACAAACCCTAGGGAAAGATTGTGGGGTCCATCTAAATTATGCCACACCACAACTTTCCCTAGAGCTCTTTCCCTACCAAATGTTTGAACAATACCCTAGGGATACATCATATTCATACCTTTCATGTACAAATATGCAATTTGAATATAAATTCAAATTAAAATTCATATATACCATAATTCAAATAATTAAATTCAAAGCAATATTTCAAATTTATAAATCACATCCAAAATTCATCATACACATCAAATTCATAATGAATGAACACATACATCAGATAGATGGTCAACTTAAAGCCAAATTCAAAAAATATAGCTATAGCTGAAGTTAGTTATTGCAAGTAGAACACCTTGACCAATATGTACAAGCAATGTTGGTCACGCTGAGTATCAAAAAAACTTGTTACAACATGCTATCTATACATGCACCCAAAATCATAAACTATCAAGGGGTTGCCTTCCCAAGAGAGATAGAGCCGAGTTAGAGCCGAGTGAGTTAATTCCAGATGCATTATCAATAAAAATCCAACCATCCCTGCAACACCTGCGTCAGGCTCCAGATTCAAATCTTGGGGAGAAGCATCCAAAGTGACATTATGGTCCTGAAATTATGCTGACAAGCAGTTTAGCACATAGTTATGAGGCTTGAATATTCTGGTAGAATTTTGGTAGCATAATCATAATTTGCACAATATGGACAGGAGAATGTAATCCCTCCCCACAGCCCACATAGCCCTGGCAATGAAAATATATGATCATGCTTGGCACGGAAGCAGCAGAACCATACATATCACCACATTACGCTTTGCACATCACAGAAGCATGCATTTGAACATCAGAATTGCAGGAACATACAAATTTTGTATAATCCAAGTTATTTTCAGAAAACTTACATGATCTGCATGTTCCTGAGCACACAAATTTAGTGGTTCTTGGCTCGTTTCAAGGATCTGCAAGATAAGGGCCCGGTTGTGAAAACATACATGGGCATGCTCATGTAAATCAACTTGTACATTAGTCGTGTCTCAAATAGATTAAAATACATACATGGCCAGTTAAGCGATGTGTTCCGTATACACTACTTAGATCATGCTTACTCTGTTCTACAGGAAAAACGAAGCAAAGGAAAGGATAGCTCTATGGATTAGTGTTCCCCTAGTTCTGTAAAGTTTCAGCTGAATTTGAGCTGCAGAAAATAGCACAAGAGAGACTATGCAATCAAAATATACTAAATCTATTGATATGGTATTCATAGCTCCCAATTACAATAAGAAAGGTAAAATAATTTGCTAATACTCCATTAGATGTTGATTTTATGCATGGAGACGAATTTAAGCAAACCATCACTCTAAAATCTATAACTGGCAGAAGCAAAATGGTCTTACATCCGTGCAAGAGCTCCCCGCTATGAGACGCATATACATATATTGGTGAATCTGCATCCCAAGTTGATGTTGCTTCTCCAAGCTAGAAAACAACAATGTAATCTCTAAACAATCCTTGGTACCTTTAAATCACGAAAACATTCAGTCAGGAAATATGTTTTAAGTTAACAAAAAGGTAGTGCAGCTGTGCAAGAGAGACAACTACCAAGGATATCATTCCAAGTCATAGCAACTGAGAACTTAAAACTGAAATGGGATCATTAGAAGGAAGATTGTTCCAGCAACCATCACAATTTCCCTGAAAAGAGAGGACAAAAGAGTACCTATCAACAACTTTGGTTGCTTTGCCCACACAAACAATCAACAATCTAGTTGCCATAGTATCCAGGGCACTAGCATGCAATGGCGGAGCTTCATGGGGGCAAACCTGGGCGGTCGCCGCCCAGCGAAAAGGAATTTTTTTAGTACTAGGTAGTAGTACTGCACACTACAACCAATACGGCAGTTAACACATCCTTCTCGCGCTCTGCATCGGAGAAAAACAAGCAGCGACCCAATACTGTAGTGTGTCTTATGCTCTTTTGCCTAGCATGGACTTTGCGACCGGCGACGCGTGAGCGGGGGTCAGGGAACCGGGACACAGACCACTAGAGCTTGCCGGCGTTGGGGCCAGATGCCTGAGGCTGGTGCTTAGAGCTCCTGGGCTCCTCTAGTCACGGTGGTGCTTAGTCATCAGGCCACTGCCAGCGTTGCGTAAAAGTGAGGTTGTGAGCAGCAAGAGCAGTCTAGCCTGGAATTTAATCCTGCTATACTGGAGTCCAACTCTTATGATTACACCTTTTCAGTGTAGATTCTTGCATGTTTCATCTTAACTAGTTGTAGTTCTAATTAAAAATTGTTTTTAGAGATGTAATGGTTAAAAGAAAGACCATTGATTTTACATTTTCTACAACAAGTGTCGAGCGTGTATTTTCTACTCTGAAGATTAATAAGACAATGCTACATAGTAATATGTTGGAAGATGATTTACTATCCAGTAGCTTGTGTTAAGCACAGAGAGTAAAATCACAGCCATGAATTTCTTATGCAATTTAGGAGCGGAAAGAAACAAAGAGTTGATCTTTAGTGATTAACTCAATACTCCATATTTAATTAGTATTTTGGTTCAGTTTCATTTGTTACAAAGTAGCTTATATATAATTAATGTCAGAAATGTATTTTGTAATCTAATGTGGATAAGATCAATGTAATTATCTATGTTCTCAATATTCTGCAAAATCTAACTTGTTTAAGTGGACGGCGTTCATGAGCGTCTGCGGAAGGAAAAAAATAAACTAACATGGTTGTTAAAGTAACAAAGATAGTGTAATTTTTGCTTCGTGGATATGCAGACGTTGTCCGCTTGCATCCCTTACAGACATATGATTTTTTATTTGATTATATTTTTCTTTGCGCCTCCTTAGATTTCTTTCAAGCTCTGCCACTACGAGCATGGCCAACCTGCATCCTAGATACCATATATCTGTCTTTAAATCTGAACTTGAACTAAAAAGATTTACCTGCTAGATCTCTTAGGTGAAAGTGCTACTTTTAAGTTCTGGATCTGGACAAAACGTGCAAGCTGAAACACCTAAATTGATAGACATGTACTACTAAACCTGCAGAAGCGGACGTGCAAAGGGCAAACTGATATTCTACCACAACGGCAAGCTAACCGAAAGCAGCAGTCAGGTAATCTATGCATAATTTCTTAACAAGCAAATCACAGAGACGAGCATCGCTTGCGAGATCTGCACACCGAACACATCAGAACATATAAATCTACCTAAACCAGAGTTTGAGAGACAGGGAGAGAACCTTTGGAGAGAAGTCGAGGTGGTGGATGCGATCTTGATCTAGCGGTGAGGTGGATGCCGTTGTCCTCGCCGTACTGCTCGAGGTGCAGGAGAGGGGGCCATCGGGGAGGAGCTCATCGGGAACAACCGCGTCGAGGAGGAGATCGAGGTCGACGTGGCGTTGCGGAGGCGACGGTGGTGGCGGCAGTCAGATCCGTGGCAGAGAAGGGAAAGAAGAGACGACGCCGCGGATCAGGGCTGGTAGGGGCGCGGCGGGGTGGTGGCGCGCGGCGGGCCATGGCGATGTGGGAGAGGAAGATTGCGGACAGAAGAGTGGGGGAGATTTTCTCCGGCGGCGGCGAACGCTTTGAGGCACGGGTGAAGGAGACCTAATTTAGTCGAAATTTTTGGCACTGCGCGCCCTTCTCCCTTCGCTATCTCACTGCAGAATGGGCCCTGGGGGGATAAAAGGCGCGCGCGTCGACGCGGGATGCCATCTCTTCGTGTTTTTTCGGCGGCGCTGCTATACACACGACAATCATGCGCACGATGCATGGACGATCCTACATGGCAGCGCTACAGCCAGCATCCACGCACGAGGCAGTTGAGGACCTTGTTCACCTAAAGTCCAAGCCCAAGCCCTACCCAAACTGCCATAGCCCAAACCCAAACTAAATGGCATAGTCAAAATAAATCTCGTCTCATCCCCTGTCTCTCGTGCGCGGCCGACGCGGTGGCCGGCGCAACATCCCGTCCACAGCCGGACCTGCACACTGGACTTCTAGCCCTCCGCCACCTGTACTCTGTTTGAAACAGATGAGCTGCCTTTGTATCCATAAGCACGTTAAGCTATCTGTATCCAGATTTGTTTCAGCTCCCTATTGTAGCTTCACCAAAACTAGTAATAGTTGAATATGAGATTTCAGAACACTTTCAGAATACAGAGCTGTTGTTGAACAAAGAGAATAGAGTTTGCAATAAACAGAGATATGAACAAACGAAGTAAGCTGATCTAAATGACAGTCAGATGGCTCTCAAAATATGTTTGTCTAGAGTTTAGATTGTGACAAGCAACATCCAGCCACAGAATATGCATCTCATACAAAAGATACTTTCTTTCAATCATTTAACAAAAACTAAATCAGCATCATCACAGAGCTCCGGTCATTTTTTACCAGAATTATCCATATAACCTCACTACAATTTCAAGGCTAAAACTGCGGTTACATTCCGAAGTACTCCAGACTCCAAAGCATGTCCCTTTCATCCATTCAGGTTAGCAGCGAGCAAGTCCATGACATCTTTCTTTCCCTTAGAAGTTTAAAGAACCGAATTAGTCATTGACAAATACTTTATGACAAATAGTTGATGGTGTATATGTGTAACACCTGGAGAATATCAATGTAAGACATGATATGAGTTGGTGTAGCAGGTTCATTTGTTTGTAGCTCCTGAAAAAAGTAGCAGTGCTTGAGTGTCTTGTATATATAGTATTGTACAATTCGTACTGTAAGGCAACTGCTCAAACTAAGTACCTGGAACTCATTTGGAAAGAACAAAAAACTTCCAGCCTCATATCCTTCATAGTGAGCATTTCCCTGAAGAAAAAACCTTACTCATAAAGGGAAATATGTTGAAAATACTCATAAAGTTACAATAGGAAGAAAGAAAATAACTATAAATTTGGATACCTTTCCCTGCTTTTGAGATGGCACTTTGGTTGTAGTTTTCGGCACATGCCGCTTCTTTGCTCTCAATTTTTTGATCACTTGATCCACTTTAGACATCTTTCTCTTTGAAGGAGGACGGCCTACACTGCGAACAGGGATTGGACTGAGTACAAGTTTTTCTTTGTTTAGCATTGTATCTTCTTGCTTTGAAGTTGGATCATCTTCCTGAACATCTTGGCTGGCACAATATGCCTCAATCTTTCTTTCTAACTCATCAAGGCCATCCATCACCAAGTCACGCAATGTATCAGACTCTGCACCTTTCTCTGCCACTTCGCGGGAACGCTTGCACAAATCATCATAACGCTGCACGACTGGTGTATTCAGCATATCACCATAGGAGCATTTAATAAATGTGTGTTTGCGCTTAAAATCCTTTCTCCATCGCTGCAATATATACCTAGAAGGTACATCTCTAATCTTCATGAGAGCAAGCACAGAAATGATATGGCTACACAAGATGCCTCGAAATTCAAAAAGTCTACAAATACACTGCACATCACATTCCTCTTGGTTGAACAAGACCGTGAACTCTGAAGCAATCCATTTCTCTTTAATCTCGCCATCCTCCCCTTCAAAAAAAATCTTGCGGTCCTCACTGACTCCAAATGAGAAAAGTGACCCTTGTTTGTTCAGCAGAGATGGATAGCAATAGATTTTACCCCTTAATTGCTCTTGAAACTCTTGAAACTTTGCATTGGTATATGCTGCTTGAAATTGCTTTTCAAAGTCATAGTGAGTAATGCATGGAATTTCCTCTTGGAACGACTTAGAATCAGCTTTGTTTTCTTTCTCTACCTTGTCTCTTAATGCATTTTCATATTGCTCCACAAATTGCTTCAAAGTTGTTCTAGCATTGACATAGCCATCAAAGAAAGAATTCATACTCTCACTCCTTTGTGTTGAAGACATTCCTGCCCAAAATGTATCTTTTACATATGCTGGCACCCATCGATTTTTATTATCATATAATCCAGCAAGCCATTCATTCTCCTGAAGATCATATTTATTGATCATCTCTGCCCAAGCTTTGTCAAAATCATGTTTGGTCAAGGAATCATACACAACATTTGACAAAGTATATTTAATCTTTTCATACTTCTCATAACCACTAAGCTTTTCAGGAATCTTCTTCATGATATGCCATATACACCATCTATGACGAGTTTGAGGGAAAACCTCTTCAATAGCATTTTGCATTGCCTTGCATTGGTCAGTGATGATAGCATTTGGTGGTTTGTATGACATACAACAGAGCCAAGATTTAAATAACCAAACAAAAGTTTCGGTGTCTTCATTGGATAGAAGACCGCAACCTAATAGAACAGATTCTCCATGATGATTTACACCAACAAAAGGAGCGAAAGGCATTTTATACTTGTTTGTTAAGTATGTAGTGTCAAATGTGATGGCATCCCAATAAGACTCATATGCAGCCCTGCTTCTTGCATCTGCCCAAAAGACATTTCTCAGACGTCCATCCTCGGCCACATCCATAACATGGAAAAAGTCTGGATCTTTTGATTGCATACGAAGAAAATATTGATAAACAGCATGTGCATCTCCAGCACCAAGTTGCAGCCTTCTTTTCTCTTGCAAATAGTTCCTACATTCCTTTTCACCAAACTCAAGATTTCCATATCCGCCAGCTTCCATAACAAGAGAACCAAAATTCTTGTTCATACGGATTCCTGCTTGATCATTCAATTCTAGCCTTCTCTTTGAATGCAAGTCCAACTTCTTGTGGCATCTCAAAAATCTGGATTTGCTTGGACTTATAGGATGGTTGTGGTCAAGCGTAAGAGACGTAATACAAAACTTCTCCTCACGGCGGGAGAAATTACTCTTAGCTGGGCATTGCATCCTTGTTGACGGATTAGGCATAAATGAGTTCTTTGCTGAGCATTGAGTCTTTCCTTGTCTGCTACAAGCGAGAGTAAAATAAGTAACCATGTTATCTTCTCCGTATCTAGTCGTCCTTCTCATCACACCAAAGCCCTTCTTTTTAGCATATCCTTTGTAGAACCTGACAGCATCATCCTCACTATCGAACACCATCCCCTTCTTGGGTTCCAATGTCATGATTGGCTCTACTTGTCGTTCATCCGAAGAATCCCCAATCTCCTCGACGATGAAAGCATCTTCATCATCTTCGTCAAGTACTGGTCTATTCTGTTCTGCTACTTCATCCAAATTTATACCAGGCTCGATTGAGTACCTAAAATTGCCAACAAAAAGATCAGAGATGTTGTATAGTGTGGAACATGTATAGATTGGATTAATCAATGCAATCAGATGTTGTAGTGGGAGGATAATATTAAGTCCGAAACATGTATAGATTGGATCCAATCAGTGCAATCAAAGATGTTGTAGTGGGAGAACAATAAAATATGCGTGGAACATATATAGATTGGATCCAATCAATGCAAAAAATAAGCCAAGAATTGTACAGACCTCATGTTGTTTGCCCTTCTTATCAACCTTGTGTGTAGTGGCTGCAGATTACGTGAGCAAGATTGATCTATAAATCAGCAAGAGAGGATCCAGATTTGGGGGGAGGAGGCGTCAAGGTTTTGGAGGGAAGAGGAGAAGACGCCATATGGTCATGGAGGGAAGGGGAGAAGGCGTGAAAGGGTTATGGAGGGGGTCAGATCGGGTCTGGGTTTGGGCTGGGTTGGGCTTGAGGGTAGCTCTGCCTTTTCTTGAGCTGGCGCTAGCGTGGGAGGGAGGTATCGTTCGCAGATCGTGCGAAGGTGTCGTGCGTGAAGCAATTCCGTTTTTTCGGAGTGGATGGTGTGCACGTGGCACCGGGACTTAGGAAATTTTATTTTCCAGTTTTTTTTTCAACAGAAATGTCTTTCCCTAGAGTGGTACTGTTCATTACTTTTCTTTCCCTTAAGGAGATTAATAAGCTCTAGGTGAAGGCCTTGGCCCTAGGTAAATCATGGATTTCTAGTAGTGTACTTGCATAATAATTTCTCTAGATTATCTCTATCCCTACAAGTAAGAATATCTCTAGTTGTCTCCTCATTCATAACATAACCTTCTGATACCTTAGGCAATTCATATCTAGAAAGGCTAGTTCTAGCAGGTGTTTCAAGAGATTCAGTTTCAACCTCATCATCAGATTCAACAACATCATGTTGTATTACTCTAGCAATTTGTTTATCAAGAAATTCAACAAAGTGGTACATCATCATTATCAAGCAAGGTACTAGCATCATCAATAACTTGCGACATATCAGAATTAATAGCATGTGGTGGTGTTGTGAGTTTACTTATAACAGAAGGTGAATCTAAAGCAGAACTGGATGGTAGTTCCTTACCTCCCCTCGTCTTTGAGGGAAAAATGTTAGTCTTAGCATCCTTCAGAATCTTCATAGTGATAATATGATAATAATCCCAAATGACTCAACAAATATAACTATGCTCCCCGGCAACAGGGCCAGAAAAAGGTCTTGATAATCCATAAGTATAGGGGAGTATAGGGGATCGCAACAGTTTTCGAGGGTAGAGTATTCAACCCAAATTTATAGATTTGACACAAGGATAGCCAAAGAATATTTGAAGGTATTAGCAGCTGAGTTGTCAATTCAACCACACCTGGAGATTAATTATCTGCAGTAACGTGATCAGTAGCAAAGTAATATGATAGTTTTGATAATAGTGACAGCACTAACAGTAACGGTAACAGCGATAGCAGTAGTTTTGTAACAAGTGCAACAGTAACGATAGCAATAGTAACTTAGCAAGAACAATATAGGATAAATTCGTAGGCATTGGATCGGTGACTTGTTGGATGATATTCATCATGAGACAGTTATAACATCGGGCGATACGGCACTAACTCCAGTTCATCAATATAATGTAGGCATGTATTCCGTAAATAGTCATACGTGCTTATGGCAAGAACTTGCATGACATCTTTTGTCCTACCCTCCCATGGCAGCGGGGTTCTATTAGAAACTAAGGGATATTAAGGCCTCCTTTTAATAGAGAACTGGAACAAAGCATTAACACGCGGTGAATACATGAACTCTCAAACTACGGTCATCATCGGAAGTGGTCCCGACTATTGTCACTCCAGAGTTTACCGGATCATAACACGTAGTAGGTGACTATAACTTGCAAGATCGGATCTAGAACATGGATATAATGGTGATAACATAGACGGTTCAGATCTGAAATCAGGGCACCCGGGCCCAAAGTGACAAGCATTAAGCATGGCAAAGTCATAGCAACATCAATCTTAGAACATAGTGGATACTAGGGATAAAGCCCTAACAAAACTAACCTTATTACATGATGAATCTCATCCAACTCCTCACCGACCAGCGAGCCTACGAAGGAATTACTCACTCCCGGTGGGGAGCATCATGGAATTGGCGATCAAGAAGGGTTGGTGATGATGAAGAACAAAGATACCCCTCTCCGGGGCCCCAAACGGACTCCAGATCTGGCCTCCCGATGAAGAACAGGAGGTGACGGCGGCTTCGTCTCGTGGATCGCGATAATTCTTTCTCCCTGTTTTTTCTGGAAAAATAGGATTTTATAGCACCGGTTTCAGGGTCTGCGGGGCCACCATGTGGGGACAACCCACCTGGGCGTGCCAGGAGGGGGGTGCCCTGGTGGATTGTTCCCACCCAGGTGCCCCCTCCGGTGGTTCTTGGCTCCAGAAATTCTTGTTTATTATATAAAAAATCCTCGCAAAGTTTTGTTCCATTCTAAGAACTTTTATTTCTGCACAAAAAAACACCATGGTAGTTCTGCTTAAAACATCGTTAGTCCAGGGTTAGTTTCATTCAAATCATGCAAATTAGAGTCCAAAACAAGAGGAAAAGCGTTAGGAAAAGTAGATACGTTGGAGACGTATCCGTATATGAAAGTGACAAAATAGGAGACTCTCTATCATGAAGATCATGGTGCTACTTTGAAGCACAAGTGTGGAAAAAGGATAGTAACATTGCCCTTCTCTCTTTTTCTCTCTTTTTTTTCTTTTTTTGGCCTTCTCCTTTTTTTACTTGGCCTTTCACTTTTTTTCTCTCACATGGGACAATGCTCTAATAATGAAGATCATCACACATTTATTTACTTACAACTCAAAAATTACTACTCGATACTAGAACAAAATATGACTCTATATGAATGCCTCCGGCGATGTACCGAGATGTGAATGAATCAAGAGCGACATGTATAAAAAATGATGAATGGTGGCTTTGCCACAAATACAACGTCAACTACATGATCATGCAAAGCAATATGACAATGAAGATGTGTGTCATAATAAACGAAACGGTGGAAAGTTGCATGGCAATATATCTCGGAATGGCTGTGGAAATGCCATAATAGGTAGGTATGGTAGCTATTTTGAGGAAGGTACATGGTGGGTTTATGGTACCGATAAAAGTTGTGCGGCACTAGAGAGGTTAGCAATGCTGGAAGGGTGAGAGTGCGTATAATCCATGGACTCAACATTAGTCATAAAGAACTCACATACTTATTGAAAAATCTATTAGTCATCGAAACAAATTACTACGTGCATGCTCCTAGGGGGATAGATTGGTAGGGAAAGACCATCGCTTGTCCCCGACCGCCACTTATAAGGAAGACAATCAAAAAATATCTCATGCTCCAACTTCGTTGCATAACGGTTCACCATACGTGCATGCTACAGGACTCACAAACCTCAACACAAGTATTTCTCAAATTCACAACTACTCACTAGCATGACTCTAATATCACCATCTTCATATCTCAAAACAATCATAAGGAATCAAACTTCTCATAGTATTCAATGCACTTTATATGAAAGTTTTTATTATATCCCTCTTGGATGCCTATCATATTAGGACTAAATTTATAACCAAAGCAAACTACCATGCTGTTTAAAGACTCTCAAAATAATATAAGTGAAGCATGAGAGTTCATCAATTTTTATAAAATAGAACCACCGCCATGCTCTAAAAAGATATAAGTGAGGCACTAGAGCAAAATTGCCTAGCTCAAAAGATATAAATGAAGCACATAGAGTATTCTAATAAATCACGATTCATGCGTGTCTCTCCCAAAAGGTGTGTACAGTAAGGATGATTGTGGCAAACTAAAAGGCAAACACTCAAATCATACAAGACGCTCCAAGCAAAACACATATCATGTGGTGAATAAAAATATAGCCTCAAGTGAAGTTACCAATAGACGAAGACGAATGAGGGGATGCCTTCCAGGGCATCCCCAAGCTTAGGCTCTTGTCACTCCTTATTCCATAGTCCATCAAATCCTTTACCCAAAACTTGAAAACTTCACAACACAAAACTCAACAGAAAATCTCACAAGCTTCGTTAGTATAAGAAAATAAATCACCACTTTTGGTACTGTTGTGAACTCATTCTTTATTTATATGTGTAATATCTACTATATTCCAACTTTTCCATGGTTCATACCCCCAATACTACCCATAGATTTATCAAAATAAGCAAACAACACATAGAAAACAGAATCTGTCAAAAACAGAACAGTCTGTAGCAATCTATAACTCTTGAATACTTATGTAACTCCAAAATTTCTGAACAATTAGGACAACCTAATAAATTTGTTTATTAATCTTCTTCAAAAAGAATCAGTATTTTATCGCGCTTTTGTTAAAAATGAAAACTAATCTCCTGGGTGCAAAAGTTTTTGTTTTTCAGCAAGATCAAATCAACTATCACCGTAAGCTATCCCAAAGGTTTTACCTGGCACAAACACTAACTAAAACACAAAAACCACATCTAACCAGAGGATAGATAAATTATTTAATGCAAAACAGGACCTAAAAAACAAGAACAAAAATAAAATTGGGTTGCCTCCCAACAAGGATCTAGGCATAAAACTCGAATAGATATAGGTATTGTCATCTTTGGTCTTTATCTTTTTAATGGAATTATGCTCAAATCCAGGAGGTTCTTTGCGTTTCTCCTCATATTCAGAAATCTTAATATCTAGAGCATCCAACCGCTTATTGCAAAGAGTGATCAACATATTCATGCGGTGGAGGTTTCCACTAACATTTTTGAGGGGCTCAAGAGATTTTTGCAAAATTTTGGTTACTTCACATAGTTTCTCAAAAACTTGTGTTCCCTCTTGAGTTTGATGTAATCCCTTTTGTGCGGGAAATATTCCTACTATCCCCTCTATTATTTCATAAGCAATGTTGGGATCTATTTCAGTAAAATTCCCTTTAGCAGCGAAATCCAAAAGTTTCCTATGAGACATATTTAGCCCAACATAAAAATTACAAACTAAAATCTTGAAATCCCCCTCTATAGTGCAATTACGATAGGATTCTATCATCCTATACCAAGCATCCATAAAATTTTCTCCTTGTCTTTGTTTGAAATGAAGGACCTCAAAGTCAGGAGACAAAGGAGGGGTAAAAGTGCTAGCCATGAGACAAATGATCTAACACACGGGCACACCAAAA